ATGACCTAGTTTGTGTCGAGTGGACGTTAATCCCCATTTCTCTCTCTCTCTCTGTTCTTTTAGAAACAAAATAGGCCAAATTTATACATGTAGTGTTTAAGGTCATGAGACGAAGAAGCCTATTGATTTTCAGCGAATTCTGATATTTACTGCCAGAGTTACGGCCCTTGGTCACTTCAAAAAATCTTGTGGACGCTCTAGAGAGCAATTCTGCTCCATAATATTTACTTATTCACTTTCATGCATGATGTGATGTTCTTACTATATATTTTATTGTTCTTTTAGAAACAAAATAGGCCAAATCAATCACTATAGCAGTATTAGGGGAAATGTACGACAAAGAATCCAATTTATCTATTTTAATATATCTAGAACTAGACCTGCATGGCAGTGCTGAATCGGCTTTCAGGCAACAGACCCGAAGGAAGCATACGAAAGTCCATTCACTGGGCTATCGAATGATACTTTAGCTCTTTTGATCTGGTAATATCCATCGTAGAAATCGCGTTTTTGGCAAAAATCTTCATTTTTTGCATTATTTCCAAAATATAGGATAATTTTTCGACTACTTCCGGTTTTCGGATCATTGTCGGGATAGCTTTAACAAGTTGAATAGATACTTAACTTTCTGTGCCAGAAGTGTCAGAAACATCCATTGAGTAGTTTTCGAAAAAAAGATAAATAAAAGAGCATTTTTTCAACTTTTTTCAAAGATTGAGGCCATTTTTGGACCACTTATACTATTTCAATGCCTTTATTTTTGGATTCACACCCTAGACCACCGATAGGACTCTGGTTAAGAAAAGTTTAAGAAAAATCGTTGGCGTCGTTTTCGAGAAAAAGGCGTCTCAGAATGCACCAAAATGGAAAATACTAGATTTTCCGCGTACCAGAATTTATTTCCTAACCATCGAATTCGTATCATTTAGATGTCATAAGATAGTCTATTCATGGGACTATCCGACGAAACTTTAATTGTTTTGGTCCGCTAATATCTGACGGAGAATTCAAGTTTTTAAAAAGAGTGCCATTTTTTTTTTCATTTTTTTACCTTTTTTTTCGTTTTTTAAACTACTTCCGTTGTACGAATCATTGTCAGGTAGTTTTAACATCCGGTTTTGGAACTTGAATGGGCACAGGGCTTTCTAATGATATACTAAATTAACCGATCAGATAAAATCCTCCTGAGAAATCCTATGTTCAGAAGTGCCAAAAATGCAAAAATGTCAAAATATCGAAAATTAAATTTCAATAACTGACTGCATATTATACATGGTTAGAATAGCTATTAGGTCAGTTTTTTCAATTTATAACATTTTTTTGAAAATCTGTTAAAATAAACAAATAATAGAGCATTTTCCAAAATTTGACGATTTTTCGAGTTTTTTCAATTTTCAGTCCCTTTTTTATCCTATTCCAGACGTTTAAAATTCTTATTGGATGGTTTCATGAACAAGAATATCGAAAGGACTCTCGATAAAGAAAGTTTAAGAAAAATCGTTGGAGCAGTTTTCGAGATAAAGGTGTCCAAAAACGCTCCAAATCGGAAAATACTTGATTTTCAGCATGTCATAGTTTGCTGCCTGGTCATAGTATCTGTATAAATTGGGCATCATACGACAGTCCATTCCCCGGGCCACCCAACGATACATTAATTTGTTTAATCCGTTTAAATTGGACGGAGAAATCCTGTTTTTCCCAAAAGCACCCATTTTTTCCGTTTTTTTTCAAAATATCGAGCATTATTTCGACTACTTCCGGTTTAGGGATCGTTGTTGAAATTGCTTTATCCATCGGTCTGACAATATGGCTTTACGGTCCTGGAGTTTCAGAAAGGTCGATTGATGCTTTCAAAAAAATATAAGGGTTGGAAAATGGGTAGAAAATTCGAAAAAATTCGAACAATAAAGGGCGATAACTCTGAACGACAGTTATATTACTGGAATCGGATGGACATCAGGTATCCAAAAATGTAGGTCAAATTTGAAAATTTTGAAAAATAACAAAAATTGTCTCGAAAACAATGTGTTTTCAATTTTCGAACGATAAAAGTCATAGACGAATGTTCGAAATTGAAAAATGTGAGATAGCCATTATCTCGGAAAAGGTACAAAGTTCTACGTCGAGCTTTAACGCCTGTAAGTTCGATAAAATACATTGTTCTCTTGTAAATTTCACATATTTCGACACAATCACTTTCTCAGAGCATAAACATGACCACAGCGCCTGCGTAATATGGGATACTCGCATATCATGTAGGGGTATAAGGTATTTCCCAAATCGAGTGCATTCGGTTAATAATTTCTAGGGAAGGAGAATTCGCACGTTTATATTGCTCCAGTACCGGTAATACTTATTTTCGATTATTTTCAAAGCTGTTTCTAAAAGCTTCTTTCAAAATTAATACAGTTATTGTTACAATATCAATAATTTGTGGGTTTTCATGTTTTGATTTTTTATTTGGTTAATGGTGTTTTAATATTCCTTACAATATTCATAGTATTACAAAAATGTTCTTCACAGTAGATTACACTTATTTTCAGCATTAGATGGCAAGGTATTGGTAACCTTTTAGATTAAGTTTTGTATAAAAAGAGCCTTATCCTTAAGCTGCCTAGACAATTCTTTGGATCATAATCGCCACCTGAGAGGAGAATTTATAAGACCAAGTTTTCCTAGAGTCATTTTTTGCGTAGAATTTGATTCTTGGGGGAGGTCAGGTCTTTGGAGCAGCTTTTCAAAGATATGTCCCTAAATAGATATTAGGGCCCTCTTGGATAATTGTTTTGATTGGGGGCCCGGATACGGTCCAATGCCTAAAAATGTTGGGAAATGGGATAATGTTGATATCAATGATGATCCTCGTATAGATTAGTAAAACATTAATTTATAGCAGAAGTGTATGTAATGCTGTTGTTTGGTTTGGGGGAGGGGTCAGTAGTAAGTGTGTGAATGGGGCATTATTTAAGAGTTAGATAAAGAGTTTCCTGTTCTAGCTATGATATTTGAAAAACAGATAATGCAAAAGGAATATATTGTGAATTTCATTCAAATTACTTTATTTTGTTTGTAGTTTTGACAAGATGTGTGCATTGATTGTAACCACTGTACTGGTCATTCAAATCGTAGCCTCGCCTCTTCATGGCATCGAGGGTTGATATGGTCCTGTCATGTTAATAAATGTCTTAATTAATAATTTATATAACATTTAAGGTCTGAAGAAAGACGGTAGCACCATGGGTCTTTTGTCAGTCGTGGAGAGTGGACAACAAACTAAAACCGGTCGCCACATTCTTTTCTTACTACATATCTTAGTATACCACCGTTACACCGTAATAAGGTTGAGTTTGAATTACATGAAAATCAAAACAAAATTTCATGACAAAATGGCCACTCCTTTTATGCAGATAGTGTAAAAGTATGTAATATTATTGATATGAAGGCTGTGGAGGCTCAAGAGGTCACAGTTTCTTTTGATAATTGTGCATTTTAGACCATTACTTCCTGGATTATAGCCCCTGATTTTACGAAAAAATCGCGAGTTTTATTTTTTAGCTTGTTCTCAATCCATCTCTTGAAAAATGTGGTCATATCTTGCATGGCAACCGCTGGTTTTATTTTAATAAAAGCAGAGACCTTGTATCCACTTGTCAACATCTCTGAGTGATTTGTTTATTTAAAATGTTATCTGTAACTAAAACTAGATTAAAAATTGTTAAATTTTTTTTTTTTTTTTATTACATCTCTCAATCACAGATTTACTGGAAAAGGTAAGTGAATATCACTAATCACAGTCAATAACCTGCAAGTACGATTTTTTGCTACGAATGCCCATTGTATTATGGATAATTTAAATTTTGGTAAATCTTTATATTACCAACAAGAAGCGACAATAGCTTACACTTGAAAATTATAAAATCTGTGATATAAAAATATGACATATTGTAACTCATATCAAAATAGAGCTTTATACTGATGACATCACATTCACATATTTTGCTGCAATGCCTTATGGGATTTAAGTTGGACAAACAAACATACATGGAGTTAATTTAACCTTTCTTTGCAAAAGTTTTCAAATATTGTTTTTTACCGAAGGTATAAGATACAGAAAATGTCCCTAGCGCTTGATTTTCAAAAGATTTAGCCATGTATTTGATGTTAAAGCTAATTATAGCTGTTTGCTTGAATAACCTCACTTTCCCCACATTTGATTGTTTTGATAACAGATTAGGAGGCTACTAGACTGTGGGTGTAGGACTATAGTCTGTTCTAATAAATTAGCATCACTGGTGTAAACTTCTCACTCTAATTATTGTTACTGGTGAACACTTCAGTTCCCACTATCAGTAGATTGGACAAATTGATGAAAACAGTTTACTAATAAATTTACATTGTGAGCTGTTTTGATGTAATAATTAATTTGAAATAAAAATAAATAAACTACTGATATTTATTCACAGCTTATCAGTTGATATATTTAGCTCCTCTGAATCACAAATGGTCATTCCAAAATGACCAACACTCTGGTTAACTTTAGATACATTGCTAATACAAGGTGGTCAGAATTTATATATGTATTAATTTGTATATTATTAAAATTCTGGAAATGGTATAATATAAGAATCCATATTACATGTATTTTTTTATATGTTATCTTTTTTACTAATATTATTTAAATCATTTTGTTGAAGTGTCACAAACTTGTTACTTACAGACTATACTTTAAACCCCCTTTGTTGATTAATTAGTCATGACCTGGTAGACAATAGATGTGGGGAAAGTGAGGTGTCCCCGCTTGAATATGTCATGATGTAACAAGAGTGACATAATTTGTGACCAGTCATGGCATAATGAGTCGCAATGAGGAAATCTTGAAAATTGAGTTATTGTAAACTTTCAATGTCTTAGTATTCAAGCTAACTTGTTTTGATGTTTTGAAGTCTCGTGTGGCTGCTCAAGCAAAAGGAGAGAGAAATTTTCACATATTTTATCAACTACTAGCTGGAGCTGATATACAAGTACTAAGTAAGTTTTTTGTCCCCCGCCTTTCGAAGAAAGCAGGGGACTATTAAAATGGGTTTGTCCCTCAGTCTGTCTGTCCGTCAGTCTATCTGTCTGTCTGTCCGTCTCTGTCAGTCTATCTGTCTGTCTGTCTGTCCGTCACACATTTTGGGACACAATTACTCTCTTTCTAATTGAGCTACAATGTTCAAACTTGATGTAGGTGTTTATTAGGTTAATGCCTTGATGGAGTTCGAAGATGAGCATTTTCGGCTTAGGGTAAGCAGATATAAGCAATTTGATTGGTTGATGCTTTGGGACAAGATAACTTTAGTTCTAATTAAGTGAGAGTGATGAAACTTGGTGTATAGTTTCATTACATCAATACCTTGACTAAGTTCGATAATGAGCATTTTCTGCTCAGAATCAGCAGAGCGATAAGCAATTTGATTGGTCGAGACTTTGGAACACAATAACTCTCATTCTAATTGAGTTAGAATGTTCACACTTGGCATAGGTGTCTATTAGGCGCATGCCTTGATGGAGTTCGAAGATGAAAATTTTCGGCTTAGGGTAAGCAGAGATAAGCATATTGAGTGGTTGATATACATGAGACACAATAACTTTAATTAAGTGAGAGTGAGGACACTTGAAGTATAGCTTTATTACATCAATACCTTGACTAAGTTCGATTATGAATATTTTCTGCTGAGGGTAAGCAGAGCGATAAGCAATTTGATTGGTCGAGACTTTGGAACACAAAAACTCTCCTTCCAATTAAGGTAGAATGTTTAAAGGGCTAATCTCGATATTTATCGGAGAGAAAAAATTTACTTAATTTTGTGTTAAAATCCTCTCGCTAAGGGCCGAGCAACTAACTCGATATTTGTGCTAAGTTTTCAAACAACTTAAACCTGTCAGTCTTCATATAGAAATGGAGACCGGTGTCCCAAGCTGTATTATGCGGTGTCTTGATAAAAGCAGACTTTTATTTTATAAAAATAATGTGGAGGTGAAATTTAGCTTTCGTTATCAAGTAGAGCACATGGGTCATTCACTATATAGACCTCTCAAGGAACGGGAATCGATTATCAGGTCACCCAACGAAAAAACTGCCCCGAAATCTTAAAAGGGTTACGTGTCCGGATAAGCAGTTTTGACATTCACGTCCAAACGGTTAAATATTTTGAGCTGGAATTTTGAGAGAAGGTAAATACACCATTCCTCGATATTTTGGCGCTTAAATTTCATACGTACTCTGAATTTTATTTTTGAGACTCTATTGAAATCGGGATAGTCCCTTTAAACTTGGTGTAGGCGTTCATTAGGTGAATGCCTTGGTGGAGTTCTATGATGAAGATTGTCTGCTTATGGTAAGCAGAAATAAGCAATCTGATTGGTTGATGCTTTGAGGCACGATAACTTTGGTTATAATGAAGTGAGAGCGATGGAACTCCGAATATAGATTCATTATATCATTACCTTGACTAATTTCGATGGTGAGAAGTTTCTGCTTAGGCTAATGAGAGATAAGCAATTTGATTGGTCAAGATTTTGGAACATAACAACTCTGCTTTTAATTGAGGCAGAATGTTTAGACTTGATGTAGATGTTCAATGATTAACATTTCGAGCTGAAGCTAAGCAGAGCTAATCAATTTCATTGGTCAATGCTTTGGGACAAGATAATCTTGATTCAATCTGATAGAGAGTGATGAAACTTAGTGTATAGTTTGATTGCTTGATACTTTTGAAAAAAAATAAATGTGCGATTAATTAATGTGTGTCATCTATTTATTTTGGGATTTCGGCAGGGGACATCAGCCTCACTGTTGGCTTGTTTTTGTACACCCACGTTTACATGTGATCATATATTGTTGTCGCCCCTGTTCACAGGTCACAATTTTTGTCCAATTTTATATATCCCAAAGATCCTGGCTCCTTTCATTATTAGCATATATCGGATGTAACTTCATCAATTATGGCCCCTGATTGTATAGGAAAAAAATCAGGTTTTTAGCTTGTGGACTCTCCAGAACAATTCTTATACGCCCACATTTTCAAGTGGATGTATATTGTCGTCGACCCCTCATGTGCATCCATCAATGTCTGTTCACAATTTGTTTGTGGACACTCTACAGGTCACAATTCTTATCCAATTTTTACGAAACTTAAAATTTAGGTTTATCATCAAAAGATCTTGGTTCCTTTCGATATTGGCATGTATTGGATTGAAACTTTATGAATTATGGCCCCTGATTGTACAAAAACTCACAATTTTAATAAGATGAAACTTGAAATGTATGTTTATAATCCAAAGATCTTGGTTCCTTTTTATATTGTCATTGCCCATGTCCGTCCGGACGTCTGTCCGTCTGTCCACAATTCGTTTGTGGACAATCTACAGGTCACAATTCTTCTCCGATTTTGACGAAACTTGAAATATAGGTTTATCTCCAAAAGATCTTGGTTTCATTCGAAATTGGCATGTCGGTTTAAAACTTCATGGATTATAGTCCGTGATTGTACAAAAAATCATGATTTTAGCTTGTGGACAATCTAGAGGTCACAATTTTGATCCGATTTTGTCGAAACTTGAAATTCATGTTTAGAACCCAAAGATCTTGGTTCCTGTTGATATTCGCACATATCGGATCGTAACATTCTGAATTATGGCCCTTGATTGTACGAAAAATCATTTTTTTAGCTTGTGGTCCCATAGAGGACAAAATGGCCGCCCCTTGTACGTAAACAGTGTAAAAATATGGTACATCAAGGTTGTGGACCCTCTAGAGGCCACAATTTTGATTCGATTTTGAAATACATGGTTATAACCAAAAGATCTAGCTTGTGGCCCCTGTAGAGGTCACAATTTTTATCCGCTTAAAAAAAAAAAACGTTTGAATATATCACCGTTACACCTTAATGATGGTTGAGTTCGTATTTCATGCAAATCAGATCAAATCTACAAATCTATCAACTATTACAGCCGTAAAAAATCTATTGTTGACTATTTTGAATAGCAGTAAAATTTAGCTTTTTGGTTATTACAGCAGCTTTAGAAATTACGTTCGTTTTATTTTTTAGATTGCTTTATCATTAACTGTACCGTTAAGAGCAGCATCTTTTGGTTTAGTACAAATAATATCTCTGAATCACTTTCGTTAGCAGGAACATGATACTAGCAGCAGTAGTTCCATTTTAATTTTATAAGTTTCTTAAAACAATTGTTGAGCTGGCTAACATGCGTGTTTCTAAATTCAATTTCTTGTTCCAGCCTTATGTTATGTTTCGTAAAAAGGTAGTCTTGATTATCCCGACCTGTCAATCAGACGTAGAATGGTCGAAACACCGGTTAAGCGAGACTAATTTCAAAACAAGGGCACGTAACCTATCTTTTACTCAAAAGTGTCTGCATGTTATGGACGAAACTTGAATGATATACACCACTATTGGTTAGGTTTGTGTATTCAGTAGTGATGGGTGTTATAAATAGTCACATTTTTTACAGATAGTTACACACTTGCTAATTAATGACAACTGTATAATTTCTAACCACTTTCTCTACATACTTAACATTAGTTTAGAATACTGACCACTAAAAATTGTCATTACTAAAAGGCCTTGCTTCATTAGTCAACAATATCAGCTTACAAGTGTATGGAGGTCAAAATTTTTTCCGATTTAAAAAAAAATTTCTTGAAAATCGGACCAAAACTGCCATACAAAATGGCCGTCCCGCATACGCAAACAGTGTAAAAAATATGGTATATCAAGGTTGTGTACCCTCTAGAGCTCACAATTTTGATCTGATTTTGATGAAACTTGAAATACATGTTTATAACCCAAAGATCTTGGTTCCTTTCGATATTTGCGCATATCGGATCGTACAATCCTGAATTATGGCCCTTGACTGTACGAAAAATCGCATTTTTAGCTTGTGATCCCTCTAGAGGTCACAATTATTATCTGATTTAAAAAAACTTGCGAATATATCACCGTTACACCGTAATGATGGTTGAGTTCGAATTTCATGAAAATCGGACAAAAACAGACAGACAAAATGGCCGCCCCTCATATAATGCAAATGGTGTAAATATGTGGTATATCAAGGTTGTATACTCTTTAGAGGCCACAATTCTATTCCGGTTTTGATGCAACCTTAAATTTATGCTTAAATCACAAAGATCTTGGTTCCTTTCGATATTCGCGTATATCAGATCCTAACGTCCTGAATTATGGACCTTGATCATATGAAAAATCGCGTCTTAAGCTTGTGGTCCCTCTAGAGGTAACAATTTTTATACGCCCACATTGAAATGTGGACGTATACTGCCGTCGCCCCCGTCTGTCGGTCCGTCCGTCCGTTCATCGTCCACAATTTCTTGTGAACGCTCTAACGCCAAAAGTTATCATCCGATCTTTCTGAAATTTACATGCATTATTTAAATTAGTGAAACGAAGAAGCCTTTTGAATTTTAGCAATTTCCATTTATTACGTCTAGAGTTATGGCCCTTGTTTCACTTTATTGATCCTTGTGAACGCTCTCACGTCAAAAGTTATCATCCGATCTTTCTGAAATTTATATGCATTATTTAGATTGCTGAAACGAAGAAGCCTATTGAATTTCAGCAATTCCCGTTTATTACGTCTAGAGTTATGGCCCTTGTTTCACTTTGTTGAACCTTGTGAACGCTCTCACGTCAAAAGTTATCATTCGATCTTTGTGAAATTTATATGCATTATTTAGGTTATTGAAACGAAGAAGCCTATTGAATTTTGGCAATTTCCGTTTATTACGTCTAGAGTTATGGCCCTTGTTTCACTTTATTGATCCTTGTGAACGCTCTCACTTCAAAAATTATCATCCAATCTTTCTGAAATTTATATGCATTATTAAGATTAGTGAAACGGAGAAGCCTATTGAATTTCAGCAATTTCCGTTTATTTTACGTCTAGAGTTATGGCACTTGTTTCACTTTATTGATCCTTGTGAACGCTCTAACGCAAAAAGTTATCACCCGATCTTTGTTAAATTTATATGCATGATTTAAATTAGTGAAACGAAAAAGCCTATAGAATTTCAGCAATTTACAATAATTACTTCTAGAGTTATTGCTCTTGTTTCACTTTGTTAAACCTTGTTTATGCTCGATTGATAATAGTTATCATCCGATATGTATGAAATTTATATGCATCATTTAAATTTGTGAAACGGGTCTATTGAATTTCAGCAATTTCCCTCAATAATTTCTAGAGTTATGGCGATTGTGAATGTTTGAATGACAAATGTGATCTGTATGAAATTTATATGCATTATTTAAATTAATAAAACGAAAAAGCCTGTCAAATTTCAATAATTTCTGTTGATTACTTCCAGAGTTAAGACCCTTGTTTCAGTTTGTAGAACCTTGTAAACCCTCAAACGACAAAATTTATAATCTGATCTGTATGGAACTGTCTTGTAAAGGCTCCCAATTACCTACAAAGGAATAAATATGCGACAACCCTTGACGACCGCTCAGACGATTTAGCTGCTGTGGGCGTATGTTTTGTTGCCTGGCAACCTATCTTTATCCAATTTAAAAAAACATTTGAATAATCACCAGTACACCCTATTGATGGTTAAGTTCAAAGTGGACCAAATCTGCCGGACAAAATGGCCGCCCCTTGTACGATATATATAGTGTAAAAATATGGTATATCAATGTTGTGTACCCTGATCCCGGCTATCCAAGAAATGTATTCATATTCGAAATAGGAGACGTATTCTCCTAACTACGGCCTATTGTTTTCATTTTTATACGCCCACATTTTCATTTGGACGTATATTGTTGTCGCCCCTGTCCGTCCGGACGTCTGGACGTCCGTCCGTCCACAATTTGTTTGTGGACACTCTACAGGTCACAATTCTTATCAGATTTTGACGAAACTTGAAAGATAGGTTTATCTCCAAAAGATCTCGGTTCTTTTCGATATTGGCATGTATTGGATCGAAACTTCATGGATTATGGCCCCTGTTTGTACGAAAAATCACGTTTTTAGCTTGTGGACACTATAGAGGTCACAATTTTCACCCGATTTTATTGAAACTTGAAATGCATGTTTAAATCATTGTTGTTAGCTTGTGGTCCCTCAAGTGGTCAGAATTATTATCTGATTTAAGTAAACATTCGAATATGTCACTGTTACACCGTATTCTTGGTTGACAAAACATCTGGTATATCAAGATCACAATTTTGATCCGATTTTAATGAAAATTGAAATGTATGTTTATAATCCATAGATCTCGGTTCCTTTCGATATTCGCGCATATTAGACTGTAACTTTCTGGATTATGGCATCTGATTGTATGAAAATTTGAGCTTGTGGAACCTCTAGAGGTCACAATTTTTATCCGTTTTTGATGAAACTGAAAATGTATGTCTATAACCCAATGGTCTCGGTTCCTTTCAATATTGGTCTATATTGGACCATAACTCCTGGATTATGGCTTCCGGATTGTTCGAAAAATGTATGTCTTTAACCCAATGATCTCGGTTCCTTTTGATATTGATGTATATTGGACCGTAACTTCTGGATTATGGTTCTGGATTGTTCGAAAAATACAGTTTTTACCTTGTGGACCCTCTAAATGCCCACTCCCCATATGCAAATAGTGAAAGAGTACGTAATACCCAGGTCACAATTTTCAATAAACGGCCACATTGAAATGTTGTCATATATTGCTGTCGCCCCTATCTGTCGGACCAGCGTCCACAATTTACTTGTGGACGCTCTAGCGGCTAAAATTAATATCCGATGTGTTTATACACAGTGTTTAAGATCATGAGACGAAAAAACCTATTGATTTTCAACATTGTCAATTACTGCCAGAGTTATGGCCCTTGATCACTTTGAAAAATGTCGAGGACACTCTGGAGGTTAAAATTGATGTCTGATAAACTTTAAATTTATACACAGTGTTCATGGTCTTGAGAGAAAGAAGTCTATTGATTTTCAACTATTTTCAATAATTACTGCCAGAGTTATGGCCCTTGATCGCTTTGAAAAATCTTGTGGATCCTCTTGAGACTAAAATTCATACCCGATAGACTTTAAATTTATACACAGTGTTCACGGTCGTGAGAGAAAGAAGCCTATTGATTTTCAACTATTTTCAATAATTACTGCCAGAGTTATGGCCCTTGATCGCTTTAAAAAATATTGTGGGTCCTCTTGAGGCTAAAATTCATACTCGATCGACTTTAAATTTATACACAGTGTTTAAGGTCATGAGATGAAGACGCCTATTGATTTGCAAAGATTTGTGATAGTTACTGCCAAAGTTATGGCCCTGGATCACTCTAACAAACCTTGTGGATGCTCTGGAGGATAAAGTTAATATGCAATTGATTTTCAATTTATACACAGTGTTTAAGGGCATGAGATAAAGAAGTCTGTTGATTTTCAATGATTTCTGATAATTATTGCCAGTTAATATCCAATTAAGAAGACTGTTGATTTTTAACGATTTCCGATAATTACTGCCCGTTATTGCCCTTGATCACTTTGATAAAAAATCTTGTGGATGGTTTAGAGGCTAAAGCTAATATCCGATCGACACAGTGTTTAAGGTCATGAGACGAAGAAACCTATTGATTTCCAACGATTTACACTGTTTAAGGTCATGAGACGAAGAAGTGATTTCCGATAATTACTGCCATAGTCTTGGCCCTTGATCACTTGTGGAAGCTCAAGCTATCATCCTACTGACTTTTAAATTTATACATAGTGTTTCAGGTAATGAGAGTTATGGTCCTTGATCACTTTGAAAAATGTTGTGGATGCCTTAGGGGCTAAAGTTAATGTCCAATTGACTTTATATTTATACAGTGTTTAAGGTCATGAGTTGAAGAAGCCTGTCAATTTTCGATGATTTAATGATTATTGCAAATGATATTAAATGTTTTGTATGCTAAATGTTAGAATAGGGCAGAACTAAAAGCCAAATGAGTTGTTACTCGTAATCAGATTTTAGTGTGTTGTAAATGTTTTCATTTCTGACAAAAGAAAATAATATGTGACAACATTTGTTGACGATTTAGCTGCTGTGGGCGTATGTTTCGTTGCCTTGTAAAATATCTTAATCTGATTTTGATGAAACTTAAAAGATATGTTTACATCTCAAGGAAATTGGTTTATACCGTTATTCGACCCTGATTGTATGAAAAATCATGTTTTTAGTTTTGGACCCTCTAGATGTCACAATTTCTATCCGATTAAAAAAACAAATGTTTAAATATATCACCGTTACACCATAATGACAGTTCAGTTTGAATTTCGTGAAAAGTATAAAACTATGTATATCAAGGTTGTGGACCCTCTTGAGGTCACAATTTGTATCCGATTGTAATGAAACTTAAAACATATGTTCATATCCGAAAGGTCTTGGTTCCTTTCGGTATTTGCACATATTGGAACGTAACTTCCTGGATTATGGCCCCTGATTGTATGAAAAGTCTCCATTTTTTCAGCTTGTTTTCTGTCCATCTCTTGCAAGATGTGGGCGTATCTTGCAGGCAAACGCTTGTTATGTTTGCATCTATTATGTACTCTGTTATTTTATAGATTCATTAAAATTGAAGCAGGATTCTCAGAAGTATGTATATCTTAAAAATGGTGGAAATGGTTTATCTAATGGATCAGATGATGCTGACAATTTTAAAACAGTCATGGTGAATTAATATCTTTTTTACACACACTGTCAATTTGGTTATAAAATGGATGAGCATTATGTGTTTCATTATATCTGTTTAAAGGAGCCAAGTCTTTTACACAATATTTTCCATAATATTTGAAATTAAACATATAAATTAGAATTCACTATTGGTCCATTTACATCCATATTGATGTTGTTATGTTGCAGTGAAAATGTGGGATCCTGATATCCAATATTTTAGACACTATGAACGTTTTAGAATATTGTACATGAGTCGTGCACCATATTGTTTCGGGCGCAAAATCAATGAACAAAGAAAAACATATCCTAAATTACAATGCGACAGTAAATAGTAATGGCTGATTCACAAATGATAAAAGAATAATAAAATCGTTTAGAAAGGATGAATCAGGCGTAAACAAACTGTCGTTCAGTTTGGACTGTTCACGTATTGCACTGAACATTATCAGAAATTACATTTTTTTTTTAAAAATTGAATATGAATCACTTTATATACACTCATATTACAATAATATGTGCTTATAGACATACTAAAATAAACTTTGTGTGATACTAATATTGCAGAAATTGAAATGAAATGTTCTTTTACGGTACATTGTTATACGCCCACATTGGTCCGTCAGTCCGGCGTCCACAAGCAATTGTGGACGCTCTATAGGCTAAAGTTAATATCCGATTTATACACAGTGTTTAAGGTCATGAGACGAAGAAGCCTATTGATTTTCAGCAATTTTCGATAATTACTGCCAGAGTTATGGCCCTTGATCACATCAAAAAATCTTGTGGACGCTCTAGAGACTAAAGTTAATATCAGATTGACTTTAAATTTATACATAGTGTTTAAGGTCATGAGACAAAGAATCCTATTGATTTTCAATGATTTTCGATAATTACTGCCAGAGTTATGGCCCTTGATCACTTCAAAAAATCTTGTGGACACTCTAGAGGTCAAAGTTAATATCCGATTAACTTTAAATTTATACATAGTGTTTAAGGTCACAAGACAAACAAGCCTATTGATTTTCAGCGATTTTCGATAAATACTGCTAGAGTTATGGCCCTTGATCACTTCAAAAAGAAGAAGAAGCCTATTGATTTTCAGCGATTTCCGATAATTACTGCCAAAGTTATGGCCATTGTTCACTTTGAAAAATCTTGTGGACGCTCTAGAGGCTAAAGCTATTGTCCGATTGGCTTCAGATTGATACACAGAGTTTAAGATCTTGAGATGAACAAGTATATTGATTATCAATGAATCTTTATGACTTGAACAGCTAAATCCATGATATTAAAAGTTTTGTATACTAAGCGTTAGCTTGGGGCAGAAGTTTATAAAAACCAAACAAATTCTAATGGTTTTCTGATAATTACTTAATGAGTAGTTATTCAAAACTGACACAGTTATATGGGACAACAATCACTGGTTTATTATTCACAAGCACAACGTTTCAATAAGTATTCTCATATCGTTATCAAGCACAATGACATTTAGTAAACTTGAGGGTCTATATATATGTACAATGTGAAACCATTCTTATTACTAATGATTAGAAGAGTTCAAACAATTAACATGACATATTAACATCAAGACCTAATGACAAGGATATAGATGTACATGAACCTTAAAACCACAATGATATTGAAAAATTAAAAATGATTAGGGGAAATCATACATTAGACAAACTGTATATTTAACAGATATGAGCTTATAAACACAAGGTCTTGTAAATGAACATAAAACCACATTAACAAAATGTTATGAAAACAAAGCATAATAGCACTAAGATAACACAGTAAAGTGATCCAAGGGTTTGAAAGGTCAAATAAAGGCTAATAATAATTGTACTAAGTTAACATAGTAATCATGATTCAAGGTGTTGAAAGTTCAGATAATATATATTTTTAAAAGTTAATAACTGGGGGGAATCAAAAAATATATATACTCAGCCAAATTAAAAACTTGACACTGATGAATTTCAACAAATTTTTTTTTCTGGTAAGTCAAATAAATTTTAAAGTATTTCTAACGATAGTAAGTAGTAAGAAGCCTTTAATTTCATAAATTAATTGGATCACGTGACTTTTGAGCATATAAAGATGAAAAACCTGAAAAACATGTGCAAACACAAACTCGTGAGGTCAATCGATGCAAATTTGCTTAAACTGAACACGCACACGTAACTTGAACTGGAAAAACAAATTAAAATTGTTTTTTTCATCTTTGTTAGAAAATGCTGCGCCTTTCAAATGTAGAACGTCTACGTGCTATAGGTAGGCTCTATGCTGGTGAGTCTGTGGTCACTGTTGCAAGAGCCTTTAATTGTTCACGCCAGACAATAATTAATCTTAGAATGAGAGTGCTTCAAACTGGAACTATTGCCGACCGCCCAAGGGCGGGAGCACCATGTGTGAGGTCACTCCAGGAAGATCAAGCAATACGATTACGTCATCTTAGAAACAGATTTGTCACTGCAACCTCCACAAGTAGAGAGATGTTTGGTGGAAGGGTAACTGCACAAACTGTTCGAAATCGCCTGCAGGCTGCTGGTCTTCGAGCTCGGAGGCCCTATAATGGACCAATATTGACACCTCTTCACATAAGATTTACTCAAAGACAGTGGAATTCGGTTGTCTTTAGTGACGAATCTCGATTCACTTTGAGATTTGCCGATGGCAGGGTCCGAGTGTACCGCAGACGAGGTGAACGTTACGCTCAAGTATGCGTCCGAGAAGTTGACCGATTTGGTGGCGGCAGCGTCATGGTTTGGGGTTCTTTTTGTGCACATAGACGTTCTCCTCTTGTTGTTGTCCAAGGGAACTTAAATGCTGTCCAGTACAGGGATCAGATTTTGCAACCTGTTCTTCTCCCGTTTATGCAGAGACATGGGCCTGGACTAACATTTCAACAAGACAATGCTCGACCCCATACAGCAATTGCTACCCAGAATTTTTTAAGAAATGCCGGTGTCCAAGTCCTGGATTGGCTGTCGCTTAGCCCCGACCTTAATCCTATTGAACACATCTGGGATGAACTGGGTCGACGTGTTCGTCAGCAAGTGAATCCACCACAGACGTTGCAGGACCTTCAACATGCTCTTGCTGAGCAGTGGCAACGTCTTCCTCGGGTAGTGTTTACTAATGTTCTGAGATCCATGAGAAGACGTTGTGTGGCAGTACGAGAAGCTAGAGGAGGCCACAACCGTTACTAAACAGTTTATTCCGATTGTTCTCCAAGTCTGTGAATTTCATTTTGGGGGGTACTGTGACATCACGAACGTTATCAATGTCAAGGACTTTCGGTGAGACGTATTCTTGCTTTCTGTTGATGTCAAGGTCGTCTGTGCACAACATAACACTAAAATAGTTGCCTTAATCCAAATATTAAAAATCTAGTCCCAAAAATCCGAGTGTCAAGTTTTTAATTTGGCTGAGTATATTATTAAAAGTTTTGTTGTCTGGCAACCTATCTTTTTGTAACTGCATTACATATGTATTACATGTACTTTGTATTGAGGAAGAAAATATAAACATAAACAAAACTATCTTCTTTGATTGGCATTTACACTAGGGACCGGGTATCATTCAGATTTGATGAAAAAAGGAAAGAAACTGAGGTTACCATCTATAATCTAATACACATATTCAGTTAATGGATTGCCATGCAGAAAGTGTTAAGCACCATCAAGATTCATCAAATAACTACCAGTTTGTGCTACCGTTTAGTTTAAGAAACACCATTTAGTTTTGACATTGGTCATCTACTTATGACCATTTAGGGTAGTTTTTCGAATAGCTAATGTCATGGCCAAAATCATAAACCCCCAACCACAACAATCAATAAAAGATCTACAGAATAAATTATCTACGCTGGAAAAAGATCTGATCATGAGAGATCAAACAATAACTGAACTTTCAAAAAATGTGATGAACTCGAACAATATGGACGGCGTGAATGAATAAGAATATCTGGTATTCTAGAAGAGGACGGGGAGGATACAGATCAAATAGTCATTGAGGTAGGGCGCGCTATTGATATTGTAATTACAAAAGACGATATAAATCGTAGTCAAAGGGTTGGTGCACCAGACAACTATGACCCCAACACAAAACCAAGACCCATCATTGTAAGATTTAGGGGTTACTACAACAGAAGAGCCTTCGTAAAAAATGGTAAAAAAATGGCTAAAATGAGACCTCCTAGGGTAAATCGGGCATCGTCGCAAGCCACACCCAGCCAAGTCAACCCAGAGGCAGAACAAACTATTGACCCACACTTAATATCAACCCTACCACAGACATTGCTCCAACATCCCATATACATAAATGATGATATGACCAAACAAAGAGCATCTATAGCTTTCAGAGCCTGATTGCTACTTAAAGAGAAGAGGATATCTCAAACTTGGTGCAGCGATGGTATTATATTTGTGAAAACACGAAATGGAGATGCAAAGCTCATAAGAAATCAAACAGAATTCGGTACTCTGCTGGAATCGCTAAAGATAAAAATGAGATTCACAAAAACTACAGCAGGTGTAAACACTGATGACGGTGCTGCTACTGACGATTCCTTTTTCGATGTCTCAGCAATGGATGATTAATAAATGTCTGACACATGATTAGTTAGTTAATTATAGTATTACTCTGATTATCTCATTCAAATCTTATATTTTTCTAATAAAGTTATATCGAAATAATACCCAAACAACAATCCTACCTGTATTTGTTTTTCTTTTAATTTGTTATATTTGAATACAAGAAAAATTGAGTGGAGTATCTTCCTAACTTTTTGATCTTAGCACAAGTGTATAAATATACTAATGTTATTCATATAAATCAGAAACAATGAAATATAAATATGTTGTCCTATGAATATTATACATTATCTATATTTGATCACAAAATATAGAAAAAATACCTCACTTATCATATATTGGTTTGACATATTATACTCTAATCTATGAATGTTATACATTATCTACAGTTGAACACAAA